TCAGGAGCCATGGAGATGTGGCACTAAGTGATGTGGTTTAGTGGGTTGGTGGTGATGGATTGACTGTTGGACTAGATGACCTTAGTGGTCTTTTCCAACCTTAATGATTCTATGATTCTATGATCTGTATTAATAGAGGAGCCAACTAAAGTGAGATGTATCTGGGAAAGCTGTAACATGGAATTACCAGCATGAGAATCCCTAAAGGCATATTCCAAATTGATCAAATTAAACTCTGTTACTTTAAATGTAGAAGTGCAACATGTTTGGTATCAGCTCAAAAGCAGCTCGTCTGCAGCTGTACACTGAATTAAGCATGTTGTCTATAATAACTCAATCTATGTCCCCGGTCAGTCAGATACAGCACCTGCATTTTAAACATGTATTTCCTGCTGTGGGATTTTGCTTCCACCCCTATTGTCCCCCAATTATCTCTTCTGGATTGTATTTGATAGTTGCTTGTTGCAAATACTCAAATAGCCTGAATAGAGGTTTGCTGTGTAGAACTAGTAATCATGGAAATATCCCTTTTGCACTTGTGCTATCTAATTACAAAATCAAGAGGACAGGACTGGTACCATGATGCCATCTCCAGACCTTCTCTGGACAGCCTTATGTTTGTGACCTTTAAGATTCCCACTGTTAATAAGACAAGGCAACCTGGCTCAGGAGCTGTGCTCTGAAAGCACCCTAACTGCTTGGCCTAAGTCCTTAGTATGGTTTGTGAATGTTTTGTCACAATTTAAATCAAACTAAGCCTCTCAGTTCCTGCTTCATTCACGCTACTGGGAAAATAACTTTGTTTACCTAGCTCTTAATAACTTTTGCAGTGACCGTGAAATCATGAATTTATGCAATTTTTGTGCTCCTTCAGCACCTTCCTTTTGAGGATCACAGAGTGTCTCCTGGCATGGTTAAGGAAACATCCTGTATTACTTGCATTTAATTCAATTACTCGCTCTGCTCGTGCAAGCAGAACAGGAGCCCCTGTCACTGGGCTCACATGAGATCCAGCAGCTTCACAAAGTTTCCCAGAACAACTTCATTCAGAAACTTGGATGAAGTATTTTTCTAATTAGTTAAAAGTCCTTTGACATTAAGACTCCACATAATATTTTAACAGCTAAGAATGAGTCATCAATCCTGTCTTCTCTGCTGCATACGCTGTGTAACATCACTGCCCTAGAACCACTGCTCTCAGCACCATGACACCTTGAATCCTGGTTCTCTTCCTGCTCACTTTCCATCAGGAAAGCAGCAGAGGAGCAGCCTGATACCCTCTCTCTCATGCTGACCTTTCCACAGGGCTCCTTCACGAGGCCCCTGCACATCCCACACCAACCCAGCGTAGCGAGCAATCCTTGTAAGCTTAAAGGCACTCCGGATTTCCTGCTGCTGGCTGCAGTGCTTGGTGTGAGAATGGGGGAAATTGATGACTTCTGAGGGATAAATTATTGCTTTTTGTTTTCTTTGGCTTTTGTTTGCAGGCCACGCAATGCATTGCGCAGTTCGTTAACTCTTTCTGGGCAGTGTGCGAGGTGCTCACATCTCCTGAGCTGACCATCCTGGTGTGATGCTGCCCTCGTTGCAACCCACGCTCTGCTCCGAGCCCACGAATAACTGAAATCCCACATGAACCCTGAACTTTTTTATTTTTTTTTCTCTTTCAGTGCAAATCTCTTATCTGCATAAACACTTCCTGGACTGCCTGAGTTCTCATGCAGCCTGGGAGCTCCAACACAATTCGATTGAGCACTCTGCTGAACCGGGAGATTTACGATTTCTGCAAGTGAGGCTGCAAGTTGTTTTTGTTCCAATTAAACAATGGAAATAAGGAAAAACAAATGGTGCTGTTAAAATAATCACTGAATCCATGTGATGTGGGAGGAAAGAAGCGAAGTTCACTGTTGCTTCTCATGTATGTGCATGCTCCGCATCCATGTATATAGGTATGGTACCTTCAATGAAAAATTAATTGTATTGCTTAATTATCACTACCTGTGTAGACCCTAATCTGAGTTCTGAGTACTGAGTTCATTAAAAAATATACCAGCCTTTTGTTTTGCTTTGTTGTTATATTATCTTCTATACCTATACGTAGAGTGCAAATCATGTAATCACAGAGTCATTAAAGTTGGAAAAGACCCCTACGATCATCCAGTTCAACCCCAAGCCATCCTTGCCATGCTCACTCACCGCATCACTCAGTGCCACATCTCCATGGTTCTTGAACACCTCCAAGGACAGTGACCCCACACCTCCCTGGGCAGCCTGTGCCAATGCGCCATCACTCCTTTAGAGAAGACATTTTTCCTAATATCCAACTTGAACCTCCACTACTGCAACTTGAGGCTATTAACTCTTCTTCTAATGCTAGTTACCTGGGAAATCTGTACCTATATCTACAAAATCTTTCTTTCACAATTACTTGTGACATAGTCTCTTATCAAAAATTACTGCTGCCTGAACATATGTAGAAGGAAACATTCAGGGGTGCTTTTAAGAAACTTTTAAAAATTTTAAACTGTAGAAAAATACTAACCTGGCTTTTCCCAGCTTCTAAGAGACAACTAGAAAATTCAAAGCCATCTTGTGCAGTACAGCAACAATGGCTTTCATTTGCAGTCAAATGAAAGTTGGTCTGAGATTTGACTGTTCATATAGTATTTCATTTGCTGCCTTGTCTCTGTGTAAATGCATGTGCTGTAGGATTTCTCTAACTGCTTTTGGCCATTTTCTAATGTCTTCTGGACTTCTGGATTCAGACAGCTCAGGCTTGAAAAAGGTGGGCTAGGTCATGTGTAGAGAGACCTGTTATTGTATGGGGCTTTGTTTTGCCTGTCCCCAACAAAGTTTTACAGAATCACAGCTCAGTTTGAAGAAAGAACCTGATTTTTTGGCAGAGCTGTTCAAGAAGCAGAAACAGTACCAGCAGAAAGGACTGTGTGATGCTTCACAGGGTTATACCTAGTTATAATTTACCTGTTATATGTGGGAAATAAAGTAAGGGACGTATCATAAAAATATCCTTGAAAATATGCCACATTTTTCAATTATTTGAAAAAATTAAGTTTTTGAACTTCCATGAATAATTGTCAAAGAAATAAGGACTTTGAAAACTCATGTTTTATTGCCTCACTTTTAGAAAAATTCAATCAAGGGTATTAGGACCCAGATTCATTTCGACTAGGAATCTGAGGAACTGTTCTTTACAAGATGAATGGAGCAAGATGATTCTTGGCTGAGCCTTTCTGAGGTTCATTTCTCTCTCTAATAACTGTGCAAGGAGCTGAATTTCTCCCAGTTTAAGAGGGATGAAGCTGATCCTCTAGGATGAGGAGGAAGTTCATCAAAGTGGCTATCCCAGGTCAGACCAAGTTCTGTTCCAGCTAAGCATCCTGTTTCTGAAGAGGCTGTAAGTAATAGACAGGGAAGAGCAAATCCAGGAAAAGCAAATAGGATGTTTCTTTGAAGCAGACTTCTAACCTTTGTCTTTAGCCCAGGTGTTTGTTAAGCCTGTTTTCTATGTAACTGTCAGTGGATTTCTCTTCACTGTACTTGCCTGGTCTCCCCTTGAGATGAACAACATTTCCTGTGTATCACTGCAGCTTCTGTCAGTGAGATCTATGGAGGCACCAAGCACCACCTGCAGTTGGAGTTTCTAAGCCTCAATGACAGAAGCTTTTTTTGAGGCCCTTCAGTATCTTAAAGAGGTAGGGAACTTTCATGTCCTTTCTATTCCAGGCAGAAACTGGAAAGGCATGATGTTCTGTGTGTAATCCATGGCTTGTGTGCACCAATGTGCTCTTCAGATTTGTCCAATATCTACTTGGGCTTGAATGCTTGAGCTCATGGCCAGCAAATAGGCAACTGGATCTGGCTGCCTTCTTGGCTTGGTCTTGGCCCTGCCTCATCACCTTGGACCTGTCTGGTGATCCCTAGGCTGTGGCCAGCCTGACTACTCACTCTGGTCTTGTGGAATGGGACTTCTGGTATTGTCACTTCCTTGAAGTCTTTTTGTCACCTTCAGTTCTACCTTGCCATAATGTACAAGATATGCATCTCTTTCTGCTCTCTGATGTGCTTTCAGTCTCAACTGATGCTTTGTCAGCTCATCAAACCATTCTAGATTGATAAATGAGTATTGTAGAAATGTCCCGCTCTCCACTTCCTGGCTGTACAGCATCCACAAGACCTACTGCTGCGTCCAGGAAGACAGCTATAATCTTTAACCTACCTCTTGCTTTCATCTTCTTGTCTTCTCTGCATGAATTACAGAACATAACTCATATGGCTTGGCTGTAGGCAAGTCTAAGTAACTTCATTCAAATAAAGAAATTTTAAAATGGAGATATTCTTTAATTTTCAGTATAGCAGAGACATGAACAGAATTATGGTCACTATGAAGAAGTGAGAGAACATAGCCCAGATTACAAATCTGTTCATGTTTACAGTAACATGGTCACATTTGTATTGCTTTATTCCTCACTATGGAAATTAACATCATGGTAAGGTGGCAATCTTACTGTCTGCACAGAAAGATATAAATATCCTTTAAAGCTTCCATTATTTTGGGAAGACTCAAGTTGTTAACTGTTCTCAAAAAATGTATTTTGAAACACTATTGAAAAATTTATTTCCTAATAGTCCTGATGAAATTTTAAGTATCTGATTTTTTTTTTTTTATCCTTTTACAAGTTCTTGGCTAAGCTACAGTGCAGTGAAAGCATGAAACCTGTTGACTAGTTTGAAATGCTCTGTCCTAATAGCTCCCTGTTACAAATCCTCTGGTGCTGTTACAGGTTGCTAGGCAGAAGGGAAATAATGTCATTTGTTAAACAAAGCAGACAATGTCTTTCTTTGTAGACTTTGCACATTCTCTCAGTGGTGTGAAATCCATGTTAATAATCAGCTCACAGTGAAAAGGCCCTAGTTAAACATTACCACAAAAAAACAAAAAACAAAAAACAAAAAACCAAAAAAGCTTGCAAGCTGTCTGAGGGCACAGAAAATACTATTTCCCAAAAATTCACCTGCATCCTTAAAATGGTCAGTCTGTTTGTTCCCAAGGTGTTCTGACCAAGAGGAGAAGCATTTGCGCAGGCAAGGAGTACACAAGACAGACAGTTTGGCAAGGAGGATACATAGGTATACCTTTACATTGGATTGATTTCTTCCCTACACCTCTGTTTGAGTCTTGCATGTATTTATTTGGATATTCTAGATTTTTTTCACTATTTAGCTTTGTTGAAGAGAAGTCTAGGATATTCTGTAACAGTATAACTATGCCTTCTGAACTCCTGTTAACTCCTGTTACCACAGAGTGCCCCTGTGTGATCCTAGCAGAAGCAACGCTTTCCTGAAAGAGCTTTGGGCTCTAATGAAGAGGGAAAAATACCTGTTATAAAGTTTCCACCATCTCCACCTCTCTTTGAAGCTCAGAGTGAAGTTTCTGCTTTTTACTTTCCTTTTTTTTTCTTTTTTTTTTTTTTTTTTCTTGCATTTCTGTCTTTCCTTGCTTAAAATTTGTCTTTTCTCTGCCCAGAATTCTTTGGAGGGAAGCAGTTCCTTCTCTTTGCAAGAAATCTTGAAGGAGAGACATACATATTTAAAGCACTCACATCTCAACTTTTGGAAGGGTAAGAATGCAGTTCTTTCACTGACACTTAAACATGCCCACATATATCTGACCTGAGGCTCTGTTTTGGCCAGCAAATATTTGCTCAGTGCTGACATTTTTTAGAAATGACAATACCATATGCAGCAGATGTTGCATATCTCTACCAGCCTGGGTCATACCAGAATGTGACAGCAGAAAGGAATTTGAATACAACTTTGGTGTCCAACTACCTATATCCTTAACACCTACAAGGAAGAGTAATCACCCTAATTTTAAATATATTACTCCAGAATTGAGCATTAGATGATATCTATAGGTTCCATAATTTGACCTAGCCATTTTACAGCAGAGATGTATATTATTCACCAAATAAAAAAAGATATTTTTTATAGACACTTTAATAATCTTTCTGTTGGCACAAGTCTTCAAAGCTGATCTCTCTAGTGTGTACAAGTCAGCATGATTCTATTCTTCTAAATTATTTATCAAAAAACCTGAGCTGGCATCATTGGCTTCATATTTACAGTGGTGGGGATCTGTTCAGTGACTTAAGGGAGCTTCCCGCACTACTTTCAAACACTTCTTGCCAGAAGAGCCCTGTTATTTATGTACTTATGTATGTACGTAGATAACAATCTACCTCTGTTGCCTTGAAAAGGAAAACTTGGTGTAAAAGAATGAGAGTAGAATTAAACCCATGGCAACCACCTTGTCTTACATCACAGCACTTTCTCTATCAGTGTCTTCCCAAGGGCTGCAGTATCTTTTTGAATTTCAGCATGTCACTCCTAGGAAGTCTCAGTGTACTGTTCCACTGCATTGATTAAAGGCATGGTTGAGCGTGGTCTATACCCTCATCCACATTCATGGATGGAGCGTCTCCATAGGCAAAGCAAACAAAGCTGCTGTAGATCACCCACAGTACTGCTGTATCGTTATACCCTATGACATGCATTAAAATGAACAGTGAACTTACTCTCACATGTTTGATGCTGGAAGACTTCTCTCAAATTCCTCAATCTCTGCATATTTTAAGACTGAGTAGCATTTTAAAAATGAATCTTAAAGTGAAATGAAATCTTAAGATTTTCATTCTTAAAATACTTAAAATACAGAGCAGGATATTCAAGCAGCTTTCACACATTAGCTTCTTCTGGGGTTAGTGGCTGCTTCTTCTCATGGTGGCAGTGCTGCAGTTTCTCTAACTGTGATGTATGGATGCTGTCCAGGCCTGGCCAAAACTCACTTTTTCTCTGAACTAGTCACAGCCACTGTGTTTTATTCATTGCAGACTTTGACTTTGGCTTTTCTTGGAGTGTGAAAAAGATCTAATACTGTGCTACTGCCTCCCAAAAGGGCTGTATGTACTTGCACCCTTGTGGTTCCTTGCAAAGTGCCCAGCTGGCAACACAGGAGTAAAAGCAGCACTGTTTGGATCACCTCCCCTAAACTCCGTTGGGAGAACGTAACAGGAGAACATTACAGTCTGTGTACAAAGCAGATGACCAGTGGGTTCTGACCATCACCTGGGTTACTGAAGGGACAACTTTGTCATCAGACTCAACCACTGACCAGGAGAGAAACAAATAACAAAAGCAAACTGTAAAGAGGAAGACAGAGCAGGTATGAGCAGCCCTGCAGACTTCCTGGCCCCACCCTGTGGGTCACAGCAAGGTTGGCCTCCACCAGTCTTGGCATCTATGTTTCCATGTGTGCTCAGCCTTAGGGGTGGTTGTGTTCCTTCTCACAGATAGCACCTGGAAAAGCACTTCTTCTGGGGAGAGCTTCTATGAACTGCAAGTAACCTTTGCTGTTGATAATCCTTGGTGGGAAAGAGGATGGTGTATGCAAAGCAATGATGTAACAAGTGGAGGGATGTAGACGCTGTTCAGCTCACCAGCAAAACAATGTCAGTCATGTCTCTTTCAAAGCTTTGTTGCTGGAAGATGGCATTTTCTTTCCTGTCACGTTGCAGGCTGCAGAGATAAATCCTGCTTAGCTGTGATCACGATAAAAAGGCCACCCCAATGGGTGTGAATGCTGGAGATCTGACCAATGTGCTCAAAAGTGCAGACAGACAACCAATCTTACAGGAAAACCTCTGAGATGGAGAGCTTCAAGGTAGCTGACTACACCCTTAACCTCAAAAAAAAAAAGGTTGACCTTTGAAACCTGGGATGCACGACTGGAATGAGGATCAGGCACACCAGTGCTTTCATCTCATTTTTGATGGAGTAGCTTTGAGCTGATGTGGAAGTCATTTGATCTGCCTGGCCTTTTGAAGAATAATTTCTGGCATACAATTTACAAGTTCTTAATAATTTATTTCAAGAGAAGGTGCTGCAGCAGCAAGGCAGTGCTGGAGCAAGGGGAGGGTTGTGCTTGAAATGGGAAGTACGTCTGCCAAGGGTAGAGTTTCTCTGAATGCCACTGATGAAGAGTAAAGTGCATTAAGGAGGGCAAAAAATTAAAAGGAGTAATTCTCCTCAACCTTCAACCAATTTATACAGGCTACTTCACTTTGAATCTTTTTAGAATCTGTATGAACCATTCTAAAATAAAAATGATTTATTTTGATTACCTGATCTCATGTATTTTCTAGTCAGTACAGAACATACTGAAAATCCTGCAAGAGATCCTGTTCTCATAAAATGCTCAGCCCAATTTTGTAAGTTTGGGAGGTTGTGGCTAGGCCAGATAAGCTTTGGAGGAGCATCTGAATATTCATTCAAGCTGAACCCACTCCAGACTGGTGTGAGCAGTTTCCTGCACTTTTGAGTTTCTGTTGCATTGAAAAATTTTGCTGACTCCGGAAGAATGAGGACAGGGAGAACCTGTTGCCCCTCTGTACTTAGATGTCTGGATAAAGAGAAGCATGGACAGTTGTTCCAAAGGGGATGGATAGAACAAATTCAGCATGGTTAATGGTGCTTTCTCAGTGAGATGCAAACAAGTATCTATGAAAGCCTCCTCAGACCTCTTGGGAAGTAATAGTTACAAAGGATGCTTTGGTGGTGGTGGCTTAAGCTAAAAATTGGCTAACAATTACTGCTACGCTTGAATATTCATGTGTCTCTCACAAGGAAAAAAGAAATGTCACCTCTTCAACCTTATTTCTTCAGTTCCTGTTGTCACACTAACATCTGAGCACCTCCCACAGACTCAAAAATAACCCAAAAATAAACATAAGAAAAAGGTGTTGCTTCCTCAACCTGGTAAGAATGCAACAGTTTTCCAGGCTGGCTCTGACCTCATGCCAGCATGACTGCAAGCAGGATGTTATACTTCTCTGCATTTTCAAATCATAGATTTGTACACAGTTTGCTGACCTGTCAGTAGGATCTCTGGTATCTGGGCTGATAAGGGATCCACGCTGAGCTACTTGGTATTGCTCAAAATCTCTGCTTATTTTGGACCAGCTTAATGCAGAGCAACCATCTGGAAACCGTTAGCATTGCTAAGGAGTTCCTAACATACGCTGAAGATGTCAGAAGGTTTTCAAAGATATCTTGGATGACCAAAACATATAGAATAGCTGCACAGGAAGTTCTGAATCACCCTATAGGTACAGGGAAGAGACGCCAAGCTGGATGCCTTGAATGGTGCCTGGTGGATTTGTAGAGGCACCTGTTTGCACTGGGAAAGTCCATAAGGGCAGAAAGCAATGGCATTCATAGAAGCTGGCTCCGGCTCTGGCCATTAGCCAGGCTTGTGATGTAGGAAAGGAAGGCAGGTTTACTACCTGGATGTGAAGGAGATTGCTTTTCAAAGCAAAGTTTCTGTGCACAGTCACTGAGGTAAGACACCCAGACAGACATCCCTCTGACTGGCAAACAATGAGAAAGTCCCCTTCCTTAGACAGCTACAACACTGAAGAACCAATCTTTTCCTTTGTTATAAAGCTGTCTATCCCTTCACTGTAGAACATTCATTGTCCCATCAGCATTCTTATTTTAACAGTCTTGATCTTGTCTGTAGCCCAGTCTTCACAGATTAGGAAGCCTGGGATTGTCTCACGGGAAGAGTGTGGGTGTAATAATATAATAAAAAGGACTTTCAGGCAAATAGATGTTGATGTTTGTGACCCTTTCTTGTATTAGTACACACTTGTCCGTAGAAGTTCTTTTCAAAAAATATTTATCAGTACTTTCAATAACTTCTTAATTTGCAGGAAAATCTTCCCTGTTGAAATGCAAACTCCTATAAAGTGAAATAAAGCTGAGTGATATGGTGATGGATGCACTTCTTTTATATAACTTTGACAATATAGCTGAAAAAATGTTTGAAGAAAAAGCTATATAGAAAAAAAGAGTTGCCCAGGATCACTCTCTTTTCCAGAGTATCCATTTTCTCCAGTCCAAAGAATATAAGTGAATATAGTTAACTTTTATTTCTTAATGATTTGTGCCTCAGATTTTTCATCTCTAAAAAACACATGCCAATGTAGGTCCTAACTTACATTGCTACCCATAGCTATTGCTCTTCTGCATTTTCTTCATAGAATAATCATAGAATTGTTTAGGTTGCGAGGGACTTCTACATCTCCTCTAATCCAACTCCTCTGCAATGACCAGGGACACCCACAGCTCCATCAGGTGCTCAGAGCCTGATTCACCCTGACCTCGAGTGTCTCCAAGGATGAAGCATCCACCGCATCTCTGGGCAACCTATTCCAGTGCCTCATCACCCCGAAATTTCTGATTAATAAGAAATTTCTTTCTTATATGCAGTATAAATCTCCCCTTGTTTAATTTGAAACCATTCCTCTTGTCCTATCACCACAGATACTGATGAAGAAGTTTGTCCCTTTCTTTCCTACAGCCCCCATGAGATACAAACAAGCCTCTCTTAGGTCTCCCTCTTCTCTTGCCCAGGCTGCACAGCCCCAGCTCTCAGCCCGTCCTCACAGGGAGCTGCTCCATCCTGACCATTCGTGCGGCCCTCCTCTGGACGCTCTCCAGCAGGCCCCCGTCTCTGCTGTGCTGAGCACTCCAGCTGTGGACGCGGCGCTCCAGGTGCGGTGTCACAGCGCAGAGCAGAGGGGCAGGATCCCCTCCCTCGCCCCGCTGGCCGCGCTGCTTCGGGTGCAGCCCAGGATCCGGCCGGCTGCCTGGAGTGTGAGAAGTTCAGGTCAGTTCCTATTGATAATGCCAGCAGTGCCAAGAAAACTAGACAACAATAATAAAAAAGATTTCAAGCATAACACATGAATTTGACATCTTAAGAGGAAACAGGTAAGGAAACACTGGAATTAAAGTTATCTGTGCAATTGTAACTCTCTCCTTTACCATAAAAATACTTTTTAAATTATGCTCCACTATTCAAACTCTGCCCTAAGCTAAGAGTTAGTGATTATCCAATGTGCTTTTTCTTCATGGCACTCTGTTTTTATGGCCAAGGTCTCACGTGCAAATAGCGTTTCATTCATTTTCACAGCATTGGTCAGAGGTGATGTTTTTTACAGAAGAGCTGTTAAGGTTAATGTAGAGGCTACAAATTCATTTAGGTATATGGGCTAAGGTCATTCATTTCGCATATATTAGATGTGGATTGCAGAAATGCTGACCCAGGGCTCCATGACACATTCCATGGAACAAAGTTCTCAGGTGAAGGCTAGGTTGAATGAGGCTTTGGGCAACCTGATCTAGTGGGAGATGGCAGGGTGGCTGAAACTAGATGATCTTTAAGGTCCCTTTCAACCCAAGCCATTCTGTGACCCTATGATTCTCTAAAGCCTTCCTCTTTCCTGCTGCTTCATTTCATCCAGCATCCAAAATCACCACGTTCCTCAGCCTCTTCCCACCACTTTTCTCTTTACTCCTTCCTGTTGCCCCCATTTATATGACATCCTTGAGTCCCCGCTCCTTATGCTTCTCTTTTTAAGAGGATTTCGGAGTCTTCTCCTCCCTCATCGCCACCCACGTGTCTGGCTCTTGTCCTTGTTTGTTTTGGAATACAGGAATTTTCTTCTTCACATTGTCACTCCAATGATTATCACTGGGAACACAAAAGAGACAGACTCCTGGCACTCATTTCAGATGCCTGGCTCTGTTGTACATTGTGGAAATCTATGGAAATTCCATGGAAAGACCTGATTGAACTTAGGTTGAAACCTGGTTATGGAGAATGAAAACTTCAGAGGTTCAGGTATGAAAGGAATCTCGTAGTTATCAACTGAGCTTGTGCAAATTGAGCTTTCCAAAGGCATAAAATGTATCCAAATTTAGGCAGATTTTCAGAAGGGCAAAAGGGATGTCTCTGATGAAAGGCAACCCCCTAACAAGTTCCTGCTCCAAGGACGAGGGGTGCCAAGGCTTTTCAAAGAAAAGGTCACAATTGTTTTTTAAGTTGGACAAAACAATGAATTTTTCCTTACCTTCGTTATTGGAAACGGCTGAGTTTGTGGACATTCTCCAAAAGCTTCAGCCTGAGGCAGATACCTGGCATGAAAAATTTCATTCCAAATGGTTATAGTTTGGCAACATTTTATGCAGTTGAAAATAGGGTCTACAATGCGAGGGACTGAGCTTTCACTCTAATGCAGAAGGTGAAGCTGCCAGCCTTACCTTTGGTCACAGCCCAGCATCTTGTTTTATCACCTGTACTGCAAACAAAGCAGCAGTGTATGTTCAGAGTGAGGCTGAATGCTTTTTTGGGATTGTATTTTTTTCCAGAAACAAATTGTTGGGATCTATACTGAATAAATGGATTAAAATGTCAATGCAGTCTTTAATGCAGAGGGTTTCCATGCTGTATAGGGATTTCATAATTAGAGGAGTTTCTGACAATGCAGTTTACAGAGCTCCTTTCCGAGTTCTGCTGGCCTGCATTTATGTGCATTCATCCTTTTTTAAATAAATGTGGTTTTCAGTTAACTGACAAATGTGTTAGCAACAGCTTATCCTGCATTGTCCTGGCTTCTAACAAGCTCCAGTTGGGCTGTCATGACCATTAACTCATTCATCTATTTCCTTTTTTTTATTGCACCAATACCACCTCTCCCTTGCTGTGTTTTGGAAGGATGAATCCACAGACACAGGCTGCCCCCCAGGGCTGGGTATGGATGCTGTGCAGTGTGTGATTTTCCAGAGATTTATTCTTCAACATGCCATTCTCTGTGTGTCTCACACAGTCCCTAGCTTCTTGGCTGCATTTCATGCACCATGGCAGACATATGGGGTCATTGGCCATAATCTGCAGGATCAGACTGATTCCTGGAAAAGGCAGAGGAGTCATAAGTGGCTAATGAGCTCAAACTGAGTTGCAGATATTTCACATTGGCCGTATATGAATCAGAGCACAGTATCTCCCCCCACGGCCAAATCATTGGCTGCTCAGAGTGCTTCACAACAAATTGAACCATGGCAGATATTTGGGCACCCTCTGCTGCTGTTTTAAGACCTATCTGAGAGCACTCTGTTATTTTTTCACCACACAAGGACACCATCACTATTG